ACACTCTTGGTTTTCATTCCCCTTCTCTTTATCCTCAAACTGTGAGGATATTCTGTGGGGATAGGAACCTATTCTGTGAGATAGGTTACACACAGAGAGAATGACCTATTTTAGACATACATATGATCGCTATTAAACCATTATACAGATCTGTCTCTTTGCACCCTGCATATTTGTCCTTGGTCATTGTAATTCAACAACTCCTGGACTGGTCTATATAGGTACATGCTGCATTTGGACGTATCCTAAATCAAATCAGATCTGAAAGAATGTAGATGGGCTTCTCCCAAAGTGGCCTAAATCTGAAGTTTAGTTAATGTTTCCGCAATTCAGAGTGACACAAAGACACTGCATGTCAGCACAACTGAGTCTGATTGTGCATACAGAGGAAAAATATAGCTATTTCAAAAAATCCCATGGAGGGCAAAGACATTTAAATTTAAATTCTTAAATTTGGGAGATATATATATAGAGAGATATAGTCCTCATCCTATGACCAAAATTGAGCCCACAATTGGGGGCTGTGATGGTTGTAAAGGTAGTCATCACATGACCAGACCCAATTTTATGGCCTTTTTTGCAGCAGTCGTTAAGCGAGTGCCGCAGATCGTAAAGCAAACGCAGCAGTTGTAAAATGAATGCAGCAGTCATTAAGTGGTCATTAAGGGAATCCATTATTCACTATGGGGCGGTTTTGTCGGAAACCAGAAGTAAACCCTGGTTTCTGGCAAAAACATTGCATTTGTGATCAAGTGGCTGCTGGGTGCTGCAAACTGCTGTTAAGTGTGGTCTGATTGCCAAGCGCCCAAAATGCAGCCACATGACCATGGGGGGAGGGCAGACATTGGACCGTTGAGCCTGGATCATAAGTAGCTTTTTTGTCATAATTTTGAATAGTCGCTAAACAACCAGTCATGTGTCAAGGGCTATCTCTATTTAGCCACAGATTGCTCAGACCTGCTCTGTTAGACTCTTACTACCTTTGACCAGAAATCATAATAACTTGTCCCCAAAAAATTAATCCCTCTTGTAATCCCATAGCTGGTGGGAGGATGAGAGTCACAATCTGACTCACCTCCTTTGAAGTCACTGGGCTGATGAAGGCCCACTGCACGGAAATGTAATACAACAGAGGTGATAAGGAGAAGGGCAGGAACCTGGAAACTTCTCTAGTTTCCTAATGGGTGAATAAGAGAAGTCAACTCTAATGTCCTTTGCTCAGGGAAAGAGGACTTTTGTGATATTGATCAACAAGCTCAAATGTCTACCTTTACAAGGGCAAGGGCAGTGATTCACAAAGCAGCCCTAATTGCCTCTCCAATGCAAAGCCTTTTTTAGAAGCCTGTTAGGACTTCCTAAAACAGTGATGGCGAACCTTTTAGAGACCACCGAGTGCCCAAAAACTGGTCCCACCCCTGCTCCATCCCCTGCCCCGCCCCCACTCCGCCCATCTCCCGCCCCGCCTGCCCACAGGGCCACCACCTCCAGGGCCCGCCGCAGAACGCCCAGGCAGCCCAGCAGCGCTATGGTGGTCAGGCCCTCTGCCCGCGCCCTGCAGCATCAACTGTGCACAATGGGGTGTGAGGGCAGAGTCTTGTTTATGCTGCCTGGCTGCCATGTCCTTGGCTGCACTGCTCCACGTAGGCCACGCTCAGGGGTGACTCTCCTTCAGGGGGGCTGCTGGAGAGGAGGGGGTTGTGGGGGGAGGCGAGGCTGGGGCAACGGCACGTGTGCCCACAGAGAGGGTTCCGAGTGCCGCCTCTGGCACCCATACCATAGGTTCGCCACCACTGTCCTAAAAGGAAGCCTCCTCTCCCCACACTTCTATTTCTATGATAACAGATAGCACTTTATTGTATTTATTCTTCTCTCTTCCCTGTGGTCATTTGCTGCTTTCAGATGTCTATGAATCAAATGCTTGTTAGACAGTGCCAGGAGCAAGAAAAGTCAAGAAATATCATGGAATGGTATGGGACAAAAGGAGATTTTTTTCAGATGCTTTGGATACAGCTCTCACCATCTCAGATGGTGCTGGAGCTGATAGGACCTTCATCTAAACGCAGCTAGAGGACACATTTGCAGCTCTGGAATATGTCATTCTCCCTTTTGCTTTGCCAAAGGATTTCTTTTCAAACACACACACACTCCTGAAAAGTGTTCAAGAGCTACCATAAAACGAAAGTATCCCTGTGCATGCAGAGAGAAGATGTTTTTGTTCTATTGAATAGTTCGCAATCAGTATCCATGCGCTCAAGTATTTAGAACTGGAACCTGAGATCAGAAAGGTGCTGAATTTCATGGTAGTTTGAAAAAAAAGAAAAAGAAAAATTATAATGACTTAATGGCCTGTCATTCCTTGTGATGGAAGATGCTGCGTTAAAGTTCCAACTGTTCAGCTGAGTGGATAAGGTTTTCTGCCACTGAGATCAGAGATTAAGCTTGATCAATTTCTCAGAGCCAATGGCTCAGGGTTAAAGAAGAAAGGGAATTTAATTGCAACTCTACACTTGTGATATAAACAGCAGCTGCTGGGGCAGGGTGTGTGTGCGTGAGTTTTAACACTGACAAGTGGCTATGTGCATTTCAATTGGATGTCATTGGTACTTGCTGAGGTAAAACCAAAGAAAGCAATGAAGAGTCATTGACCTCAGAGAGAGAAGTTAATCCCCCCACATTTATGGCCCATAATCTCAGTGGGATTCAGTTTTTCCTGATCTGATAGGCCAGGGGCAGTCAGCCTTGGCTCTTGTATGACTCGTGGACTTCAAGTCCCAGAATTCCTGAGCCAGCATGGCTGGCTCAGGAATTCTGGGAGTTGAAGTCCACGAGTCATAAAAGAGCCAAGGTTGCCTACCCCTGTGATAGGCGATCATAAAACACACATCCATGAATTGTATCGATTTAAGAGAGTCCAATGCATGTTTCCAAAGTGATTCAGAGGAATCGCTTTTCCCCTTGCACAAGGGCGCATGCAGTACATCCCTACTCTTTGTTAGAACAACCCTACCCTTTTTCAGGGTTCAGAGTTGCACAAATGAGTGGATTCTATAAAGCAGCAGCACTTTTTTCCCTCAGGCATCTCCAGAAGCCTGAAAAAAAACCACCATATTATTTTAACACGGGGTTCTCCAACCTTGTCAACTTTACGACTTGTGGACTTCAACTCCCGAATTCCTCAGCCAGCTGGGAGTTGAAGTCCACAAGTCGTAAAGTTGCCAAGGTTGGAGATTCCTGCTTTAATGAATGCCAGAGAGAGCAAAATATACTGTAAAACAGGATCTGGCCGTGGCATGGTAGGAAAAATGAGCTGTCCCTCCAGGGCTGGGATTAGGTTTCTTCACGCATGCCTTGTGTGGCCTAGAAGTAGGGTTACCAGCTATTCCTTTCAGTGGGGCTCCTATGCATTTAAAGCAGTGCACCATGCAGAAATGCTTTAAAATATATAGATGGAGCTGCCACCCCCCCTTCTCCTTCTTCTGCTTTTAACGCTAAGCACTCCTTTGCAAACCTTAAGAGAAATAACTTGACCTGTCAGCCAATTTACAGTATTTATTCTTTCAGGCTATTAACTGTTTTCCGTTTAACTGATTATCATACATATTACATTTTCTCCAGCACAGATGATGGTACGGTGCTTTTCAATCACGACAGTTCCTTCTCTAAATCGTTCAACACAAATAATTTATTGCTGGGGAAATCCTTTCCCACACATTGCTTAAATTGGAATCTGGAGAGGCACACAAGTCTTTCACACAAACATAAGTGAAGGGCTGAATCATGCCTGATAAGTGGACAGAACCAGGAAACGTGCTTTTTAAAAACAATTATGGGCAACACCAATACAATGATAGAATATGCAGGTCAATGTGCCGGCTGATATTTTCAGGATCAAATCGCACTAGAGCATTCTGTGGAGAACTAGTTTGCAAGCTAGAGGTGGAGCTTTAAAATTACCCTTAGAACATAAATACTGAGACATAAATAGGTAGCGGTTAAGAGATAAACATTTCCTGCCTACAAGTAAAGAGAAAGAAAACCAAAATCAGGAAAAAATGTTTTTAAGTGCTAATATCTGATGCTAACATCTCTGCCAAGTAATGCTTTAATCTTAAGCATGAAAAACAAGTCACTCAGCAGATTTCGCAGATATCATGTAAAGGCAACTCTTATCCTCTATAATTATGTATCCATTATTGTAATGCTAATTATAGCCACAGTGTCATGTAATAAATCATCCTAAGTGAACTGAGGCAATTGAAGTGCAATGAACCCTTATTTATTATTTACAATGGCTTTTTGTACGGTACCTTTCATCACAAAACTGAGATTTGATCTAGATGCAAAACCTTTTGGATGCATCTTTTAATCTGGGGTTGAGATCTTGGTGTTCTCTAAATGTTTTGGATTATAACTCCCATAACTCCCTATTACTGGCCATGTTGGCTGGGACTGATGGAAGTTTAAATCTAAAATGTGGAGGTGTCCATGCTGCTTACTCATTTAATTCTTCAATACCTGTTGCTAAACAGAAACAGTGGGTGGTATGATGCCATTCAGAATCCATGTATTGTTTAATTTAATCCAGTACATCTCAGATTTGAGCAGAAATAAAGCAAACTTGTATCTAAACATTTGATGCAAGATATTTCTGTTCCCAAGGGCGGTGTTTTGACTGTAGCGTATTTCCCAACCCTATTTCTGTCAATAAATATGGCAAAAATAAGCCTTAACATTGGTAAAATCTATGCTTGGCCAAGGTGCTTTTTCATAATGACCAATTTTATGTCCTGCCCTTCCCATGTATTTTAATTAAGATGGAATTTTAATTCCATCTTATAGAAAAGTTATGAGAAGGTAAAAAAATTTATTATTTTTTGTAACTTTTTCAGTTTATCCTCAAAAAGGAAACATTCTACCAACTAGCCAGCAACTAAGCTCTTAGCAAAACTAAGATTTCTTCCCATCACTGATACTACAGAAACCAGGCAATCATCACTCACCATAGTGAAATCTTCAGGCCTGCAAATTTCTCCACGGTATCTACAGGTCAGCATCATGTCCTCAAGCTGATGGCTGCTGCGGTCATAAAAGTTAAGCAGATTGAGGGGCTCCTCAGGCACTTCCAAGCTAGGTGTAGCCAGGGGAAAGCCTGCTTCCAGGTAGGTACCCACATCATAGCCCCAAAGCGGGGAAATATAAGACAAGTAATCGTAGGTGAGCTGAGACACTCGGATGCGATTGATATTGCAGAAAGTGATAGCAGGGAAAGTCAGCTGTGGACTCTCCTGCTCCTCCAGCTGTGTGATGTGATGATATTCCAGATAGTAAAAAATTCGTCCAGCTACCTGGGATAAGAAAATGGATAGAAAGATCAGGAACACACCTGCCCAGAGGGTCTGGCGGACTCCAAATCCATTCCCTATGAAGATATGGTTGGCCCCATGCAAGGTGCAGCTGTTGGCAAAGGCTGCCAGATTCGGGGCTGTTCCTTCATCTTTCTCCCCTAGTTCTTCTTCCTCTTTGGAGTCCTCCTCTGAGTCTTCTGGATTGTGCTGGTCAAAGAGAGATTTGTCATGATTTCTTTCAGCAGGGCTCTTGGTGGTGTGCCTCTCTTTGCTTGAGGAGAAGGAGATGGTGCAGAATATCTGGATTGGCATTCTGCCCTTTCCTGCCAGGTTTCTTCAAGTAGACCCCTCCCTGGCTGGCTATTAACAGGACTCTCCCAGGATTTCCTAGCGCTGGAGGTCAGAGGTGAAAGGAACAGAAAGTAGCTGAAGCGAGTTTGGGAGATGCGGGAAGGAGGTGAGAAAAGGGCTGGGATTGGACGAAAGGAACCGGAAGAAAGGAACAGGAGAAAAGGAATAAAAAGAAGAAATGAGGCTGGAGTTATGATGCCAACCAAGAAAATAAGATGAATCCAAAAGAGAGAGAGAGAGAGAGAGGATTTGGAAGATGGCCTGCTGCAAGAAGTGAAAGGAGGAGCTGATGACCATCTACTCCTCCAAGGCAGCTTTGAGGAGTCTCAAACTATTCCCAAACCCCTCCAGATCCAGCACGTGGAAGCAAAGATGTCTCGGAAAAGCTTCAGTTCTCTGACCTTCTGCTCCAAAGTTGGGAGTCTGTGGCTGTGCTGGACCGAGTAGCTGTTCCCAGTCAATGCTGGGTATTAATCTACAGCAGCACAGAAGTCTGACCCGGGCGCCTTGGACAAGGCCTGCTTAATAATTCATTGGCTTCCTTGATTTCTGTGTTGGGCTGGGAGGGGAGAAGCTGAGGGAAGGAAAAGCATCTTCCCTTCTCACCACCTCCTCCTCCTCCTCCCTTCCCCCCCCCCAACTCAGTGCCTACCGAAGCCAGGCCCCCGCTGAACCGTTTCCTGCACCCAGCGTGTTACTGCAAGCTCCAGCCTCTTGCAGCTTTTGTGTATAACTGGACTGAAAAGATACGGGAATCTCTAAATAAAACCGCCTTTCAGATTTCAACCATGTGTTATCACCAAGACTGTCAAAAGTCTTGTGTTTTATCCTTGAAATTCTACCTGGCTGTTTTCTGGACAGAGATGCAGTGAAACTCAGAACTGGTTGAACCTCTTCCGGACTGCAGTTCACAGAAATGAAGTTGCCTTTTAATGGGGTGACCTTAGGAATGTTATTACATTCATAATTCAAACCGAAAGTGGGGTTATCAGAATTCTCCAGCAAAAGCCCTTCCAGAACTACCAGCACTGCAACTCTCATAGCTGGCCTTGCTAACTGGGTATTCTGGGAGTTGCAATCTCCTCGCCTTTGGAAGGCTCCATATTTGAGAAACTTGCATTATGTGTTCATTGACACGTTCCATGATGAAATATCCAAAGGCTATAATTATGGAGACACTAATGTTAGCTGTTGTCACTTTGTGAAGGAAATATGAACAGTCCGTTGAATCATTTCATGTGGACTGAATTCAAGTTCAGTGCAATCTTCAGCCAAAACTTGCAAGACGGCAGGCACAGCCTCTTGATTAAAGCCCTGGCCCTTTTGTATATTTTATGCTGTACCCATCATTTTGCAATTTTTGACTCACCCCATGGGGTGTTCCCACTCAGTATACTACACAACCTGTGCCCTGTTGGGTCATCATTTCAGAGATATATCCTTAACAACTAAACAAAGAAACAGAATGGCCATGGGTGGGCAAAAAAACAATGAGAGTGGGAACGGCTTTTAACTTCCTGCCCGGTTCCCAACTGCGTTTCCTTGTGGGAACCTGGCAGGAAAATCTTTCTTTCTTTCTTTCTTTCTTTCTTTCTTTCTTTCTTTCTTTCTTTCTTTCTTTCTTTCTTTCTTTCTTTCTTCCTTCCTTCCTTCCTTCCTTCCTTCCTTCCTCCCTTCCCTCCCTCCCTCCCTCCCTCCCTCCTCCAAGGAAAGTAAGGGGCTGCTGCCATGTGTGTGTGAGAGAGGGGGTGTATATGGCAGTATACGAAGGTGGCATGCGGGTGTGTGCAGAAGCTACCACATGGGTTGGGGAGGGCATGTGGCTGGGTGAAATGGGTTGGGAAAGATGGTATTATGCCCCAGGCACTGCATTGAGAGTAGGTCAACAAAAGGTCTTGAGTGACTTTCCTTTTTTTTTTTTTTTTGCTTTGTGTTGCAATCCTGTCTGCTGTAGACATAGGGGTGAGGACCCCACAATTCTGGGACATAAAAGGGGATTCAATGGCTTTCCATATCCATTTACTGAATTGGAGAGCAGGGAACAGGACTGCATTAACTGGCTGCCTCTTCCAGCACCTTCAGTTGGAAAGAGCCCTTAAACAGACACAGATGCCCACAGAAGGATATTTCATGAGAACTGAAACCACTAACAACTTGGGAGACAAACACATATTTGTTTTGACTTGAGAGAAAAGGCCACAGATAGGAAAGGTCAACACACGCCTTTTATGAGCATGGCTGAGGGAAAACTTGTAGCTGCAAACTTTTTTCATTGTTCAATGGGAGTAATCATATATCATGTTGAGTTGACTGTTTCTGATATATATTCTGCCAGGATCTCTGGCTGCTGATGGGTGCTCTGCTCTAGCTAACAAAAAGAATGAATTATCTGAATTTCAGTTGGATTAGTGGCTTCTGTTACTAATGGGTCTCTTGTAAGATCACCAGTTTTTTTTTCCTAGCTGAGACTTTGTACTTTGAACTTCAGGAGTCAGAGGCTAGTTAAGGACTTAACAATGATAGGAAAGCAGTGCTTCAGCTGCTAAAGACATAGGAGTTGTTTTCAAGGGGAAAAAAATGTTGGGCTTTCTCCCGAACAGTAACAACAACAACAACAACAACAACAACAATAATAATAATAATGATGATGAAGATGATGATGATAAAGTTGGAAGGGACCTTGGAGGTCATCTAGTCCAACCCCCTGCTCAGGCAGGAAACCTATACCATTTCGGACAAATGGCTGTCCAGTTTCTTCTTGAAAACTTCCAGTGTTGGAGCATTCACTGCTTCTGGAGGCAGGTTGTTCCACTGGTTAATTGTTCTAACTGTCAGGAAGTTTCTCCTTAGTTCTAGATCAGTGGTGGCGAACCTATGGCACGGGTGCCAGAGGCAGCACTCAGAGCCCTCTCTATGGCAGGCGCCCCGTTGCCCCAGTCCTAGGCCTTCAGCTGGGTTTTATAAAACCTTTTTGTTTTAGGTCTCTGCCACCATGTGCAAAAAAAAAAAAAAAGGTTCAATCAATCAGTCAATTTCAACTTCTCGTGGGAAAAAAAAAAGATTTTGCAAAGTTTGAATTGATTGATTGAACTTTTTAGTCCCACCCAGTCTGCCGTTACCACCGCAGCCATGTCCAGCCAATGGGCCACACCCACCCAATGGGCCACACCCACCCGGCACTCGACGATGCATAAGTGGGTTTTGGATTGCAGTTTGGGCACTCAGTCTCTAAAATGTTCGCCATCACTGTTCTAGGTTGCTTCTCTCTTTGGTTAGTTTCTACCCGTTGCTTCTTGTCCTGCCTTCAGGCGCCTTGGAGAATAGCTTGACTCCCTCTTCTTTGTGGCAGCCCCTGAGATATTGGAACACTGCTATCATGTCCCCCCTTGTCCTTCTCTTCATTAGACTAGACATACCCAATTCCAGCAACCGTTCCTTATATAAGAAATATATATAAGAAATTCCTTATACAAGAAATATATATAAGAAATTGTTCAATGGCATATCAAAGGCTTGAGTTCAGTTAATCAAAAGGCTAAAAACCAGATGACTCGCCCTGCTCTTGGTCCTGTAGTAATAATTTGATCTGTGGAAATCAGCCAGAGAAGCTTTTCATAACAGAGCGATAAGCATGAAAGTGGATTAATGCCTGCTGTTCAAGGTACAGAAAAATGTGGCAAACTTCACCACCAGAGATTGGGGGAGCTGTCCCTAGAACCAGAAGGGCATACAGTATATGGAAGGTGAATTGTTCAGTAACAGTAAAATGATGCGCCAAACAGAACTGCTTTTTTAAAAAAAAAAAATTTTTTTTTTATAATGCTCAGTGGATCTTTTGGACTGAAAAATATGGAGCATTTGCCAGATGCAATGGAGCTGGTGTAGAATAAGGAGAAATATTTGAAAATAGAGGACATCCCTTTAAAGAAAGGGTATCTGGGGTGAGGATTCTCTCACAGAAAGCTGCTGCTGCAGATTTGGGATTTGGGGCAATTAGGCAGAACAAAAAGTTATAGGTAGCAGGCAGCCTTTGCTAATGAAGGAGTTCCTCTCCTGCGCTTGCAATTTTCTCTTCCTCTCTGCCCTGTGGTTTCTTTGCCCTGCACTTGGGAGACCATTAGGAGCAGCCACAGAGTAATTTCATGCCGCTTGGTCACTGCTGATCCACCTAAAACGGGAGATGAGAACATGCAAGATGGACAGCTCTTTGGGGCCCAGAGAGGAATGGTGGTGAGGAAACGGACTTTCTTTTCCAGCCAGTGCTAGATCAAAATAATCTGAAGTCAAAGTGACCAGATGACTTAACTCAGTGATGGCGAACCTTTTAGAGACCGAGTGCCCAAACCACAACCCAAAACCCACTTATTTATCGCAAAGTGCCAGGGCCACATCAGCATTGTGGCCTCGGGTGGCATGGGGGCGTAGCCCACTGGGTGGGCATGGCTGTGGTTGTCATGGCAGACTGGGGGGGGCGTGTCTGGGGTGGGCATGGCCTTGATGTTGCTCATGGGGGGGATGCCTGTGGGGGCCGGGCAAGGTTGAAGGAGATCCAGGGGGTCTCTGGCGGGTGGGGCGGCGGGCAGGAGGCCCAGCATAGATGGGGGGGAGGCACACAATCCTAGCTGGGACTGGGGGGCCATGGCACCGATGGGGATCTGGCTTTCCCTGCTCAGGGTGGCCTTTGGCTTGCTGGGTGTGGGCGTGCTCTACCACCTCTACTTGAGCTTGCTAGCTGGCTGCTTTGCCTCCTTTGTGCTGGGTGGGGCTGCTACTCCAGGCGGCGGTGGCGGCCTAATGGACCTGTGCAAGTTGCTGGCAGCGGCGGCGAGTGTGCCCACAGAGAGGGCTCTGAGTGCCGCCTCTGGCACGCGTGCCATAGGTTCGCCACCACTGACTTAACTGTTTGTGAACCGCCCCTTGGCCCTTTCGGCTGGAGACTCTTGGGTGCCACCTGCTGGTTA